CTCTGATCATCTTTGTGGTCCTCCTCTGGATCTATTCCAATAACTCCATGTCTTTGTTGTGCTGGGGGCTCCAGAGCAGGATGTAGTGCTTCAGGTGGGGTCTCACAAGAGGGGAGTAGGTAAGGAGAATCACCTCCCTTGACCTGATGCTGACCATGTTTCTTTTGATGCAGATCAAGACATGGCTGGCTTTCTGGGCTGCAAACACACATTGTCCAACTTTTCATCTGCTAGTTCCTCAAGTCCCTCTCTGCAGGGCTGCTTTCAATTACTTCATCCCCCAGTCTGTACTGATACCGAGGACTGCTCAACCCTGGTGCAGGGCCCTGCATCGCTGAACTTCATGAAGTTCTCATGGGCTCACTCCTCAAGCCTGTCCAGGTCCCTCTGGATTGCCTCCTGTCCCTCAAGCCTATCAACCGTACCACACAGCTTGGTGTTGTCTGAAAACTTGCACTCAATCCCACTGTCTGGGTCACTGACTAAAATATTAAATAGTATTGGTCCCAGTACAGACCCTTGAGGGAAACCACCGTATACTGGTTTCCACTTGGACACTGAACCATTGACATTATATCTTTTTAGACACGGCCACTCAGCCAATCCCTTATCCATCTAAGAGTGCAACCATCAAATCTGTATCTCTTCAATTTAGAGGTAAGAGTGTTGCAGGAAAGGTTGCCTTCTAGGCTGGAGAAGTCTACTTGTAAAGCTCTGTACTTCTATTACATTGTTTCTTATGACTGTTTCACCATATTCTCAGCAGCAAGAGCAGTGGTTTTTCCAAGTGTCTACATATATACACCTGTAGTGAGCTCAACAGCTGAAAGCCACAGCCCATCTTACCTGAGAGATAAACTGATAGGCTCTCAGGTTTTTTACACAGTTGCCTTTTGCAATGGCAACATACTGCAAATGTTTGGGGAGCTTGCTTCCTTTTTTTTTTTTTTTTTCATAAAATCATCAAATTATGGTATGATTTGGGTTGGAAGGAACCCCTAAAGGTCATGCAGTCCAACCCCACTGCAGTCTGCACAGACATCTTCAAGTGTATCAGGTTGCTGACAGCCTTGTCCAGCCTCACCTAGAAGTTTCTAGGGCTGGGGCATCTATCAACACTCTGGGCACCTGTTCCAGTGTTTCACCACCCTCACTGTAAAGAACATCTTTCTTATATCTAGTCTGAATCTACCCTGCTTTTGTTTTTGGTATGTACTATCACTGTCCCATATAAATCCTACCACACAGAATTTGATGTGCCAGATGAGAAAGCAGACAATTTACCATGCTATTAAATACAATTGAAGTCTTTTAATCTAAATAATAGAAAACACAAACAGGTTAAGTTTGTTTATCAGACAGTAGATGATAAGGTGCACACAAGTATCACCTAAAAACCACATATCAAACGAATGAAAACATCATGGTGCTTGGGACAGAATTTTTCCCAGACTGTCCCCACTGCACATTAAATGTTTTTCTGAATTCCTTTATATGTCTCACAAGTGAACGGAGTCCACCCATACATAAGCACAGTCATAGGAGTTGTAACACAGTCCACTCAAGGTTAATTGTCTTCCATTAAATTAATTCCCTCACATTTGGCTATTGCAACAGATTAAATAGCGGTCTTGCATGTAATGGCTTAATATTCATGTCCCATATCACAATGGAAAAGCAGTTCACCAGAACTAATTATCCTTACTTCGCATGATCTTATCACTATCAGACCTCCACAATGAAATCAATTTTTCCTCACGCACAGTAGCACTTTCTTTCTATTTATCCAGGTGCCCTACATACATGTTTTTCCAGTCTGTTAACATTAATGTTTCCCCTTGGTCCAAGATAAGTGCTTAGAATCACATTTCTTGTTTAGACAAAATGAGTACCAGCACCAGTCACTTTCTGCCTTATTTCTTCTGCAAGGAAAAGGGCAGAGGATTTACTGCAATAGTGAAATTAACAGATTGAGATTGCTTCCACCTCACATTTCATGCACGCACCGCTGAAGAGCACTGTCTGTCATTCACTTTAGACAATTTCCTCCCTATTACAAACTGGTTTGTTAGTGAAGACCTGTTTCGAATTTCTTTCTCTAGCATGGACTGCATGTGGCAGGAGTCAGCTGGCAGCAGTTGCTTATCTAAAACAGGGAGTCACAGAACACAAGAAAAACTGGTGCAGAGTCATGATAAATGTTCACAGGGGTTCTGTCTCCATTGCTGAAGTTTTTGAAACAGGAAAGAAAGATAGCAGGTAAGCCTTGGATACACAAATGCCAGGCAGAATCTATTGTCTGTGTCGTAAAAAGCTAATATCCAATAGATAGAGCAGACTGACATGAAAGTAAACAAAATGTGACAATACTACTCAAAATTCCTTTGAATCTTGCTCTTTTCAGTGTAGAAAAACAACAAACTACTGGAAGGGGGGAGAAATATTACAGTCCTTGGACTGTAATAATGATTTGCATTTAAAAATTATATGTATTATATAATATAATCTTATGTTGTTATTTTTAGTTTAAATACAAATAAAATTTGTGTAATCTAAACATGTATGAGCTTCACTGGGATTACGTTAAACATAGAGACAATCATAACAGACTCAGGTGTGTCTAGCTTTTCTGAACAGCTTGATGAGGCCATGGAACAAAACAGAAATGCAAGCATTTTGTGTGGCAATGCAAAAGCTGCCCAAATAGTACGCAGAACACAGTGACACATAGATGAGATAGTCTCCAGTGAATGTTTAAAATAAATGAGTGATTAAGCAACAGCCAGTATGTTTCCTACTACAGCAGCTCCTATGAATTTTCCCTCCAAAATACTTTTTAGATATTTTACTACTGTACACAGTTTTTCAATACTGTCAAAGAGACAACTGATTTCTGGTAACTGCATTCTAGTGTTACATTTTTAATGCTATTCTTTTAGAATAAATCTTCAACCATAAGGGGGAGTTTACTGTAAACCAAACAAATCTCTCAGTAAAAGGTATTACAGCATTAATTTGCATTGTTCAAATAGAATTTATCTTCAGTCCATATAAATTGTATTGGTTTTAAGTGTTTTGCATTAAAATTGAAAAAAAATTTAAAAGGAACAAGGCTTGTTAATCTCACATTCAACACTATTACTCACATCTGAAACAGATGAAAACTGTAATAAATCTATACAGAAATGTGAGAAGAAATGGATGGCAAGTAATGTTCTTCTCATAATCCAGATACTTGATAAGCTGTACTGATGAAACCCCACTGTGGAATACTAACCTAAGGTTAAGCATCTTCATGCCGAATAAACTTAAATTCTTAAAACATACTATGTGTTAATAGATAAGTTGATTTGCAACAGTTCATGAGTGAACAAGTCTTCACAACAACTATGACTATAGAATTCTATTATATTTCTTATAAAAACTGAGTCCCATTTGGGGAAATAGAACAAAATGACCATATATCTATGAATTATCAAACTGACACACTTATGTTTTAGCCACTATTGACCAGTATCTCTAGCTGCTTAACATTCTTCACTTCTCTTTATCAATCAAAGATTATTTGCTATTTATCAATCATAATTTTAAGCATTTCATCCATCCCAGAAGAAAAGCAATTATATTTCTTTTGATAGGTCTGACAAAATTAGAGACGTCAGAAATAAAAAAAATCTTTTATTTACAAAGAACCTTTCTGATTACTCAAATTGTAAAAGGAAAATATAAATGCTCTTTCAGTACATATATGCTAAGTTAGACTAGTACATCCTCCTGAATTCTGAACTAATATACATGTAATAAGAAAACATTTCAACAGCAACATAAATAACTGGAAATAGAAAATGATTGTATGAAACAATTTTTCCTCAGTACATAAGTTCAAGCAAAATGTAATGGGGAGATTATGGCAACCTGTGTTTAAACTAGAATGAAGAAAATACACAGGATTTATACATTAATAACTATTTCTATCTGGAGAGAAATAGAAATGTTTATATTTTCTTCTTTAAGACCTAAACAGGTTATCTTGATTTCCAATAGCAATGCATTTCCTTCATGATGTTACAGTTGACAATTTGTGTTCTCCAGCCTTCACCAAGAGCAAGGCTGGATTGCTGCAGCAGGGTATACAGAGGGAACTTTCACTGAACCACTGCATGCTCATTGTGTAGACTCAGAGAAACTGCAGACTCCTAAAGTTGCTCATTTTATATTTAGATATATATTCTCGATTAGTAAAGCAAAAAGAAAAACCAACATACAGATAATGCAAATTTTTTCTTGGTATGATATTAAAATTCCTCCACTTCACCACTTTTCACCATCTTTCATATTAAAACTATTTTTAAAACTCAGATAGACGTGATCAGTGTTGACAAAATTTATAACAATAATGCTCACACTTCTCCCCATACATTCTGATGTTCACCTAAATAAGCACAGACTGTGAGAAAAAGTGAGGAGATTTTTGCTGTTGCTGCTCTTTAGGATTAGTACTTTTTAGGAAGTGAATTTCTCCTAAGTCATTTAGTTACAAACACTGCTTCAAGTGCCTTAATGTTTTTATAAATTGTATTAGAACACTGTTTTATAAGAAAGTAGAAAGACTCCACTGATCACATATAGCAGGAAACTTGAGCAACTGTCCAATCACACAGATGTCAAAGAGTATTAGGGGAAAGAAAAAATTTTTTGCACAGAACCCAACAAAAAAAATACGCTTTATTTTTCTTTCCATTCTCTAAGTAAAAAGTTTAATTACAGTTATGACTGTCCACTGTTTTTCAGAGAAAAAAAAAATCATATGGTTTATTTGACACATTAGAATATTTAGACCATCTCAAAAAATTTTCTTCCAAAAAGTGTTGCCTGTTGAAGACCTGAGCTGGAAAAATCACACTGAAGCCTTCATTACCCTTTTCGGTGCACAGCTCTAGCTCTCTTAAAATTTTCATTCTACAACATTCTAACACTTAGGTTATGTGAAAAACACTTACCTCTGCATATTTTGCCATTGAGCTGGCTTCAACTGCATAGACTCTTCTAGCTCCAGCCTGCACTGCAAAAAATAAAAGGATTCCTGATCCACAGCCAGCATCTAGGACTACCTTGAAAACAAAAGGCAGACCAAAAGAAACAAAATAATCCAAAAGTCACTTCCAAACACCTCTTTTGACTAAATTTTCATAGCCGTACCTTGCATTTAGTGAGCCTGGCACCATGAAAAAATATTACTAATTTAGCTTGGGAAAAAAAAAGAAAAGAAAAAAAAATAAAAAAGGGCTTGTTAATGAAGAGATTTAATGCCCTTAATCTTTATTTTGGCAGAAACAACACATTTTCAAAAGACTGTGGATTACTTTCAAGCATAAATACATGGTTATGGTTTGAAAGAAATAGATTTTTGTAACAAAGTTTCTTTAGGAAAAAAATTTGAAAATGCATAGCCTGAATACACTAGGGAAGGAGGGAAGACACAACAGTAATTTTTTTATTTTTTTTTTTTTTTTTGGTGAATGAAAAATCACTCTGTGATGTGGAATTATCTTGGATAAAACCAATTTATGGATCTTTGTTCAAATATTGGTTCTGCTTGCTGATGTGAGTACTAGACCTTTAATTGCACTGCATGCACGATGTTGTATCTCTCAAAGGTCCCCAGTTAAACATAAACCATGAAGCCCCAATTTCCCCAAGCCAAAATGTTGACTGAAATGTTTCAAAGAGTTGAAAACTTTGTTTCAATACATGGTGTAATGCAACTCCATCAACTGTTGCAAGGGTCCAGACAAGCCTCTAGTTTATAGCTTGGTTCTGTTGTACACGTGACTTAAAACTGCAGCACATGCATAAGTACACTGACAGAAAAGCCAGCCGCTGGAGGAACGGTTAAGATGATGTGACTGATGTGATCTGTGATGCAAAGCTCACTTTTATACTGCCCAGCAGAATTAGGCTAATACCTTGCTTCCCCCAGATTTTAATACCAGCTTTGAGAAAAATCTCACAGAACAGCTCACTATGCAGGTTCCTCCTGTGAGTTTGTGCCTGATGGAAAATGAGCAGTGACAATTCTCCTGTCTCTGTGGCTGAAATTCTCATTAAATTTTGATCCAAGATATGAAATTCAGAAAACCACTGGGTGATTTAAGCCACCTGGAACAGGAATCTGATATTTCAAAGCACTTCAACCATGAAACCCAGAAGCAGCTCTAATCCAGTCTCGAGAGTCGAGAGCAGAGAAACATAAATATAACAGATACAGAGTAATACTTCAGCTTAGCGTACCACCAGCTACCCCTCTTCTTTATTGCTTCTCAACCCCAAATTTTCATATGATGCACATTGCTTACCAGCCTTTAAAAATACAAGTGAAAATGTGTATTCAAAGAGAATAATTTTTACAGAAAAATAATCTCTCAAAATGAAGGGCACATTCTGCTCCTCCTGCAAGACATTTAGCTTACGTATTAAAGAATGCAGACCAATGTACATGGCTTTAATCTGCTGTGCATAATGTGAATCTGTGCTACAGAATTACTGCACTGCAAAATAAATTAACATTGCTTCTGATATTGCACATCATTTTAACTCTGGCATAGAAGCCATAAGCTTGCCTTTAATAATTTTCTTTCCTAGTGAAAGATTTTATTAAGCTCATTTTTTTGTATCACAGATGAGAGGTTGTTACACATTCACTTTTGTTTCTGTGCTTTGCTCCGTGTTAGAATATGCTCCCTCTCCCTGTGCCCAGAAGAACCAGCTCTTCAGAACATCAAGTGACAGTATCAGTTACACAAGTAGGGAGGGGGAGAATGAGAAGTCAAGGCCACTTTCATTGAACTATAGGTCTGACAGAAGGTTTAACTGGCTATTTCTCAGTACCCAATGGGAATCACAAGTACAGTAGTGCTCTCTCTCTGTGCGTATATGTAAAGTATAAGGAAGAGTCAACTGCTCAAGCTCAACATCAAAAATCCCATGGACTACAACTTTTTGCACCAGGCCTAGTTTTGTTGCCATTTCTTATCCTATACATATTTCTACATGAACAGGTAGGACAGTTGTATTGGAACTTTTTTTTTTTTTTTCTGAATGATTTACTACGACTAATTTTCTTCTACTTTAGTCCAGTACAGTTTCACCCAAAATTAATCAAGCTTGTTCACTCTGAGACCACTTCACAATATGAACTGATAGAAATTCACTTCAGAAGGTCACTCCTGACCTATATTAAGACTCTTGTGAAGATACAAATGAGCAGAGCAAGGTGAAGCAGCTGACATAGAAGTAGCATTTTTTCCAGTTTTTAGTGAAGAAAGGGGCAATTCAGAGACCATGTATGACTCAGTGTGGGAATTGCTGCAAGCTGCACAACAAGACATAGGCATGCCCTGTAAGACTTGCTAGTCTTACATATTCCACATCCCTTGGCACACCAAAGACTTTAATCCAGGACATAACTTGTGAGGGAAGATGTTGCTGTGCCACTGCTGGGCTGTACAGAATGGCTGATGGGTCTCCCTAAGGCTAGGATCAATGGTGACCTGTGGGTGAGGTGGGCTCTGACTGGGAAGAGCCACAGGGTATGGAGTGGAATGGGTGGAAAGGGAGGGGACTATGAACCACTGGGGAGGCTGAACAAGAGATATTTAGGATCTTCACAGATGCTTTCTAGAGGCAAAAGTCTTGAGCAGCAACACCTGGCTGTGCCACTGCTATCACAGACAGAAATTCAGTTTTTATGAGTGCAGTATCTTCTGGAGCAATGAAGACTGCAGGAGAGACAGAGGACCATCTGAAAAAAAAGCAGGGCAAGGGTATCTCTGCCAACATAACACGGAGCGCTAAAAAACTAGATACATGTTGTTGAAGGTCATCATAGCCTGAAGAGAAGTGAAGGCACAACGGAAGAGTTCAGTAGACAGCACAATGGAGGGTCCTCGTGCACCTTTTGTAAAAGCAGCATAAGAGGAGAGTCATCTGAGATTCATGTACACAAGCACACATCGCATGGGAAACCAACACAATGAATCCACAGTCCATGCACAGATGCACAGCTTCTACTCCACAGGCATTACAGAGACAGGATGGGACAGCTTGCACAGCTAATGCTGCAATGGATGGCTACAGGCCAATAGGAGTGATATGTTGGGAAGGTAGGAGGAAGGGTTGTACTTTATCAAGGAATGACTCAAGTGCCTGGCACTTTGGGAATACACAATGAGCTGAGAGCTTAAGGATAGGGTGACAAGATACAGGGTAAGGATATAGATATTATTGAAGTAGGCATATGTTATAGACCACCTGATCAAGAAGATGAAGGAAACAATGCCCTCTGGAGGAACTTCATGATCATAGGCCCTACTATCATGAAATTCAACCACACCAATTCCTACTGAAAGGGTGGTATGGTGGGGCACAACAAACCCAGGGGATTTCTGGAGCGTCTTGATAATTTCCTGATGCTAGTAATCAACCAGATAAGCAGGAGAGCTGTTCTACTGAATTTGCTAACAAATATTTCCAGCCTCTAGTACGGGGATAACTGCTAGACAGCAGCTTTGTAAAGAAGGAGGCCTAAGGTCCCACCTGTTACTGGACAACAAGCTGAATAGGAGTCAGCCCTAGCAACCAAGGCCAACTGCATACTGGGCTGTATTAGCAAGAGTGCAAACAGCAGAGGTCTGGAAATGGCCATTTCTAAGATGACACTTGGGGTACTTGGTCAAGTTTTGATCTTCCCAGCGCAAGTCAGAAAATGACAAATTGCAGCAAGTCCCATGAAGGTCCACCTAGATAATTAGGGAGCTGGAGGGCAAATATGAAAAGAGGCTTGAAAAAAGAAGAGATAAATTGGTTTCTCTAGTTTTAACATGAGGAATGGGGTAATGGGAGAGCTTACTCCTGTCTTCATCTGCCTAATGAGAGTTCAGAGAAAACTGAGAGACTGCTCTTGAAGGAGACACAGTGACAGAACAAGAGGCAATGGACACAAGTTGTTACACAGGAAATTCCAACAGATAGTAAAGCTTTTTCACTGTGAGGGTTGTCAGGCACTGGAAGAGGTTGTATACAAAGTCTGTGGCACCTTCATCCTTGGATCCATTCAAAATGTAACTGGACAGACCTTAAGCAATCTGGTCTAGTTGGTCTTGCTTCCAGATGAGGTTTGGACTATAGATGTCCAGAGGTTCTTCCTGACCTAAATTACTTTAATCCGGTGAACTTGCAAGAGCACACCTTGCTCCCCAAATAGTGTTGCTATTTTCACTGGCATCTTCTACAGAAAGCCTTTCTCCTTCTAGATAGGAGAAACATCCGAGCAGAGTTGTAAAAGCAGTAATTAATTCAAAGTGCTGTAGAATAATAATACATGGTATTAGTATCCTTCTCTCTGAAAAGTAGAATTTCAAAATAAACAGTAGACAGATAGTTGGGTGATGATGATGTCATGCATACTGAGAAGAAAGGTGTAGACTGTATGTGCTTCAGCATTTATTTTGACATGCGAATTCAGATACTTTAGCAATTATCAGAAATCATAGTCGAGAATAACCTACAGCCTACCCTCCTGACCACAGTTCAGTACTGCTCCTGCCTTCACCTACAAAGAATAATAGTTTTCCCAATGTGAATTTAATTGGAATTTCTCACATGTGCAAACACGCTTATATGCTTGAGTACTTGCACAATGAAATTCCTAAAGAGCCCTTTTCAGTAACAGGGGTGGAAGGCAGAGGTCAAACAAAGAAGAGCAACAACAGGGCCAAAACATAAAACTAAAAGCAAAACATGTCGTATAACTACAATGCCATTTATGATTCAAAATTACTGTGTATCAGCAAGACTATATACAGGTTTTTTTGTTTTTTTTTTTTTTTTAGCCTGTGCCTGCACAATATGAGTGGTTGTTTTGCATGATCCTTCACCTAGGATCATTCGAGATATTGTAATTCTAGTTGTTCTCCTTTACAAGAAACTATTAATAAATTGACTACAAATTAAAAAATTCAAGAGGCTCAGAACCTAAGACAATGTCAAAAGCAGAAATGTGCCAGCCTTTACTCAGCTTGAAACAGTCTACTTACACTGATACTGTAAAATTTAGTAAAAGAAGTTGTAAAGTAGACTTAAATAATAATTGTAAAATAATCTTGTAAAATAAGAATTACCACATTAATGTGATAAGTCCAGCCTCAGATTCATTAGATTCTGAGTTCTTCTTACTCTTTAGAGCTTCAAAAGATATAAATGGTCAATTGAAGCACTACTCACAGTTTGTCCTAAACTAGCTTACCTCTGATAGACACTGTTTGAATTCGTCACCAAGAACCCTCTCAAAGGGTCCAAGAATTAATTTTGTCCAGCATAACTCAGAAAAGCTGTTGCACTTTCTCATACAAATTTTTTTTTCAAAACCAAACAAACTTATTTTCTAGAATAAGAAAAAAAATTTATTTTATCACCAGGTATCTCTTCACTACAGGTGAAAACATTTGTAAAATAAATCACTACAAAATAGGAAAGGATGCAGCAAAGTTAAATAATTGAATAAAACTTCCAATAATGGAGATATAAAAATAATGATATAATGTTTGCCTTTTTTTAATCTCTTCATTGCCATCATTAAATATTTCTGCCTGCCTTACAATTTGTAGATGTAGGATGGATACAGTTGCTGTATTTTCAACAGATCAAGTCTCAGCACAATAGATTTCTCAGGTTCTCATGGGAAAGCATTTTGCCACAGTGTAGGCAGTTCAATTGTTTTTCTGCTAAATTTATCTGAAAATTGCCATTTCTTAGCAGAATCAGGAAAAAGAGAGATCACTTTCGAGGTGGGTGGTCAACAGCACGCAGGCTGTAATAGTCTTACTATTAGGCATGCTGAAGAAAAGCCAAGGCACCTCCAACAGCTGGGAAAATAAATAAACCTAGAGCAAAAGCATGCAAGCTGTTCTGCTGCATGGCAGCAAGATTTTCTACAGAGGCAAAGACTATGCAAAACTTGCCTTCTTTACTGCAGGCAAAAAATTGAATGGATATACTATGTATAGAGGTAGATCTGCCTGCATGATAACATGGCAGCATCCTATTTGGCAAGAAACTAATGGCAAATAAAATCCTCTCTCTGCTGTTCCTTTCACCCTGTAATCATGTTACATATTCCAGTATACAGTTAATCCACTAATGATACATTAGCTCCACTTACCCAGCTAGGATCATCTGATACCACATGCTTTGGGGTTTGACCCTGTTGCATACAGCATACTGGAGTAGTCCCGTGCACAAAACTAGTTTACTAACCTTATTGAATTAAATATGAGAGGCGGATTGTTTCAAGCCTGAAAGAAAGCACAGAGACTGAAACCTGTTTGTTTCATTTTTATAAAGATTTGTTTAATTTCTAAGAAAGTAAATAGTTAAATATGGCAAAGAAAAATTATCAGCTGCATTTGAATTTATTACTAAGCTTAATTAATAGTTAAAACACAACTATCTTAAAACAACTGAAATAAATTTCACATGTACAGCTCTCCTTATTGCAGCTATAAATATGCCACACACTTCAAAGGAAATGTTTTGTTTGGTACTTGCTGTATAATATGATGTTAAAGACTCTTTTCTGTGATGTAGTACAGCCATTTGTTCTGGTGTGAGTTAAGTTAGAGCCTTAGAGAAAATGCACACCGAACGGTGAGAGAAAGGAAAGGAAAATGAGACCAAAAAATGACACCAAGGGGAAAAAAATATTTTTTGCAGGTTCATTTTCTTCATCCATTTTGTTTGTAAACAGGTCTCACATGATCTCAGATGACATTCTGAGACCTAGAAAACATTCCTCCTAGGCTGCTTTACAGACTGTCTACTTGCTTAAAGAAGGTCTCATGTTGTCTAATATTTTTTGCTGGGTTCTATTATTTTGAGAGACATGAGCAGTGTCAGAGCAAGATAAGATATGCAGCTGGCACAGTGCTTAACAAACAGAGAGAGATAGTGAAGGTAGGCCACTGGAAAAGGCACAGATACACTCATTCCTGATTTATATAAGTTTGCAGAAAATAGGAACTGTTCACATATCATCCACTTTCTAAATGAATCATCATCAGCAACAACAAAGAGCCTAGGCACCATTATGAATCTTTGGTGAATTTGTTGCTCAGTGGACAGAGTAGTCCCAGGAAAAAAAAAAAAAGTCAAGATTTATGAGAAGTACTGCAAAGAATAACTAGGAACTCAGAATTCTGCAATATAAATGAATTGTATGGCCCGGTCTACACTCCCATGCATAACTCCTGCTAATCCTTCTCAAAACATGTGCTGTAGAATTAATGGTGACACTGCGAAAGACGGCAAGAATGGTAACAGGGTATGTGCAATTTCTTCATACAAAGACAGAAAGGACTGAGAGCACTGTCTGAGAAGCAAGACTGTGTATGAAGAGAGAACAAAAATTGACACAATAAAGGAATCGCAGAATCACAAATGGTAGGAGTTGGAAGGGACCTCTGGGGACTATCTAGTTGAACCACCCTGCCAAAGCAGGTTCACCTAAAGCAGGTTACACAGGAGCACGTCCAGGAGAGTTTTGAAACTCCAGTCTCCACAAAGGGGACTTCACAGCTTCTCTGGAGAGCAGTCTATTCCAGTTTTCCATGAGCCCCAGAGTGACGAAGTCTTTGATCATGTTCGGATGGAACCTCCTGTGTTCTAGTTCATGCCCATTGCCCCTTGACCTGTCACTGGACATCACTGAAAAGAGACTGGCCCCATCCTCTTGACACCTGACCTTCAGATATTTACAAACTTAGATAAGATCCCCTCTCAGCCTTCTCTTCCACAGGCTAAACAGCCCTAGGTCTCTAAGCCTTTCCTCATAAGAGATGTTCCAGCACGTTAATCATCCTCATAGTCCCCTTTTGGACTCACCAGTAGTTAATGACACAGCAAAAATTACATGAGTAATATAATGAGTTTCTTTATATTTAAGATATAAAGAAAATCCTCCCTTGCCTTACAACATAAAAGCAAAATGACAGAATTAGAAAGCTGATAAATCAAAAATTTTACTAAAGGAGATACCGTTCTGAATAATACGTGATTATATTATGGAATTTGTGGTTGTATTAAGAGTGGAATCAGAGAAAAGTGTGCTTGGGGACTGGTTCTGGAGAGAGCCAGAAAGTCTCCAGTTACTGTGACTAATTGTAACAGAAAAAAAAAAAAAAAAAAGGAAAAAATAATTGTAAAATATACTAGTCCTGTATTTTGCATTTCAAGGACCCTAAAATTAGAATATCAAAAACCAACTTAGTCTGTAGCTGGGAGGCAGGCTATCCCACATCTCCCCAGTTGGTGTTTTGGTTTGGTTTGGTTTGTTTTTTTTTTTTTTTCCTGATGTATCTGGTTTGGACAATGCAAGAAGCAGAGTACTAGATAAAGAAGTAACAATCATGTTACATTCATTACAGTAGTCTTCAAGACCTATGTACATATTTTAGACATGTTTTTGGCATCTGAAGTTGTAAATTCCTGCACTGTTTTCTTATACAAATGGAGTCACAGCAGCCACTTACGTAGTTGATCGGTTTGAAATGAATGTGGGGTGCAAAAACATTCAGTATAGACCTCCAGAAACATAATCCGCAATCCTTTTGCAGGTATTTGTGAGAGACTACATAGCACAATAGCAAATACACAGTCAACAGTTAAGATAAGGAAACTAATACTGTACATGAGCTCCAAGATGCGAAATGGTAACGACAACAGCCAAAAATGTCAAAAAATATGTATGTGTAGGTCCCCAGATTGTCTACAGAAGACAGCAGAGTGATTTGTAGCTCATATTTGGCACCATTCATCCTGAGGATGTACCATCATCATCAAGCATTCTCATCCATGTACTTGACAATAACATTGATAATATAAAGCACACACAAGTTAGAACATTCATGCACAAAGTCCCATGTGAGAAAAGGCTCCAGTCTGACCAGCACTGCACTACAGAGCAAGTTGAAGTTTAGACCCTAAGAAGCATACTGGAATATTTAGGACTCTAAACAGACCTTACCTTGTCTGTAAAATCTATGCGGTTCTGTAGGATAGCTCTGTGATAAGTGTCTGTCCTCACAAAATCCTGCATCATATTCTGTTGTTGAGACAGCCAGCCATAAAACTAAAAGGAAAAGAGAGGAAAAAAGCCCATCTTCTATCAGTGTTACCTCAAATTACTTGGTACTTGAAATTACCAAGGTCCTGACCACACTCTGAATAAGCTTAAGTTATCTTTATAATGGACCCGGTGACTCCAGTCAAGCTAAAAACAGTAACTTAGATTTCACAAATGGGCACTGAAGTTTCATTACTTGAAAATACTCAACAGCAGATGCTTCATCTGTTTGCTCACTAAACACAGATTTCTCCTTTTGGCTATGGCACCTCTTCAGTGAATTTGAAAATGTGTTGTATTCTGGAAAAGAAAAATAGGAAAGACTCAAACATAGCAAAAGACATAAGGATAGTAAATTAAGATAAATGTCCAATGACAAGGTAAGAATACAGTCAGTCATACTTGAGAAGAATGCTTCATTTGGCTTATGGTGCTCCCAAACACACAGAGAACAGTTTAAAATTTGATTAAGCAGACAAGAGTTGTCACAAAGATCTGGCCAGCACTGAGCCTGTTTTCTCCTTCTCATGCATAGTAATACCTCCAATACCTTCAACAAGAATGACCTGATGTTCATGAGGCTAGAGGTAAGCCTCACAAGTATTGCCTTTTCATCTATAACTTTTCAGTACCTCAAACACCTGCTCTGCAAAAAGAAAGCTTCCCCAAACCAACAGATGTTTCTCTTTCATCTGGATGTTCTGAAAATAATGGAAAATATTGGAATGAAGACCGCTATGACCAGACAGCCTAATCTAGTTTGTATTAGCTAATCCAGACACAAGTTTATTTCCAGCAAAGAGGAAAAGGCTGCAAAACTTGCCCAAGTGCTGGATGCATCTAGTAGACCTACAGTCATTGCAGGAAGTACAACATGGCACTTGTTTACCTGTGAATTATACTGCTTTTAAAACACCTGCATTTTTAACCTAATCAAATGTCCTCTTTTAACTCCTTTAATTTAAACTCTTTGATGTGAATTGGATTGTGTTAAATTGTATTGAGTTGTATTCTATGGTCCATAACACACACACACAAAATAAAAAAAATCCAGCAAGTCAAACTGTCTCTGTCAAAAAGAAACTTGGAAAATTGTTTAAATTCATTTGGTACTCTTCAGTAACTGCTTGCATGCAAGCTCTTACTTAACAACAGCTAACTCTCTTTCCAGTAAGGCGTATGCTTCCTTAGGTTCCTTGGTGCACCATGTGATAAAAATGTTCATACAGGCAGCTATGAGGAAACAGCAAAAAGAGCCTAGTGCATATTCTATCACTTCTTTACAGCAAAACTCATCTCACAGAATTAATTACCAGCTTTCAGAAGAAAAGTGTCAGCTTCTCCCTTTTCCTTAGCCATTGAGAAGGCAAGGAAAATTGCTCTTGTGAGCTAAAGTGCCTCCACAAGGATCTTGTTGAGGAAATTTTTTTTTAAAAAACAACTTGCAAATAATTTCAAAGAACATTTAAAAAAAGTAACTTCCAGTGTTTTTATTTTAAAACTAAGCCTGTTGGGATTTATTTCTAATTTCCCCACCTTTTTTTCGAATTAAAATCTGAAGACAGAAATTAATCTGGAAACTTTTGCCTTGACAGAAAGCTGCAACTTGCTGAAAAAGAGGCATTTGACAGTAAAGTTTTGACTAGCTATACACCTTAGTTAACTAAAATTTGCTGTTGAACAATTATACTGTTTGATAACTTCTCACAGATATTCTGAAAATATTACTACACTGATAGTCCAAAAACTGAACTGCATAGAAACGGAATAAAAGCCAGCTAGAACGGATGCCTGTAATCAAACAGGAGCATCCTTCCAAAGAGCCCTGCTTCTAGAGTCTCTTGTGGCCTACTCCCTTCCCCAAAACTGAAAGCAGAAAACCCAGGTCCCTGTAGCACTTCTGCAGGCACATTCATACTCCATTCCTAATAAATTGTCACTCAAATGGTTGCCTCCCTCAAAAGCAGAACTGCTGCACTGACTCCTCTTTACAAAATGCTTATCCTAGCAGCAGAAGGCACAGACACACAAACGCAAGCTATTAACTTAGTGCAACTCACCCATCTGCTCAAAACAGATGGAGTGTCTCACTACTCCAAATGGGAAAAGGGTGGAGAAGGAAGAACAATGACAAAAAAGCCTCCACTAATAAATCTGGATGGCTCCTGGGGGATACAGAAGGAAAAAAAACACCCAAACAAACCAACATACACAAAATAAGGGAAAGAAAACTCAGTAGGGAATAAAATTCAAACTCCATGCGGCAGCGATCAAAAACAATGCTACTTGCAATAAATCATTATATAAATTTATTTTACCAACAGCTGTTAGATGTTCTGATCTAAGGAGATTGTCATAACAGCTATGGAGAAGTGCTGCTCATGCATTGTTTTGCAATATCTGCTGCAGGCTACTATTAAAAAGCAGCACCTACATTAAATAGTGAATTTGGCTTGCAAATGATGAGAGGTGTAGGGTCATAACTTTGACCAAGTTTGGAAAAACTGAATAGGAGTAAGTCCATAACTTACCACAAATCTACAGATCAAATGATCAGACAGGTCAGACTGTCTCCTGTTAAATGTGGGATAGAGTCTTCCATTTGTAACAATAAAGTTGCAAAATAGCCAAATAATAAAATGCCTGATTTGCCAAAAAGTGAAACATGCCGTAAAACTATAGTAAACTTATCAAGGCCAGATATCCAAGATATCTGAGATTGAAGTTAATATTTCCAAATGAGGAAGAAAATCTTCTTGCTTCTATTCTGTTGTAAGTATTAGACTTCAGAAGTTCAGTGATGCCTATTACAAGTACCCCAGTAAAATCTGAACAGCATTCACCACACAGACTCAAAAGAAAAAGCTCCCAGAAATCCCTGGGTTCACACCAGTTTGATAAAATTTATCCAAAATATTTCCCTCTTTGTGTTATACCTTTCAAACAGTTACACAGTTTTGCATTGCCATAAACACAACAAATTAGACTAATGGGATTCTCTTTGTTTTAACGACTCATTTACTAATATTTCAGTCAGCATTGTGTCCTTTTGTCAAGAACATTACATCCCAACATGCAGGCTAGGCCAATTACCACACTGCTACTTGATAAGTGAGTTTCTGCAGTCTTCTTTCAAACTTTTAAAATGAGTTTCAGCTTGTGCAACAGGAACGATTTTGTCCTAGACACAATCATTTCAAGTGAATAATTTCAAGTGCCAGCATAGGAGAATGAGATGCTCAGAAATTCAGTCAACAAGGACATCAACAAGTACACAGTGGACTCAATCAGTTGTGCGTTTTTAGAGGAAATATGACCGATGGCCTTATGTTATTCCTCATCAGGAACTGAATGCTACATGTTCCTGATCTCATTTTTAAAAGTTTCCCAAGTCATACTTTTCCCAAAGCAAAAACCTTTTCTAACTTTAGCACAAATAACATATGCTTTCCTCAGTAAGCAGAAAGCAAAGTATTGTATCACATCCAAGCTAAAAATCCTAACTAAAATTGATTTTCTTCATTCCAGTTATTAGTAAGTGGTTCACATTCTTATAAAATAAAAATTAAGCTAAACTGATAAAACAGTTGGTATTATCAAGAAGAGTATTAAAGGAGTAACTTTCATTTCAAGCTGCAACCACTCTCTAAAGCAACGTGAACTAGCAGATGAGAAAGCTTCCCCCACTGTGTCAATCTCACACTAAAGATGCTACCAAAAGAATAGTTATTCATAAAATGGCATTACAAACTATCTAAATATAAATGTTTCACTTTCTTTCAAATAGCCATTTGAGCTGTATTGGACAACAGAAATATAAATGGGTTTTTAAGTTTTAGTCAAATTTAAATGAAGGTTGTACAAATTATTGTGATATTGAAAAGCTCTTGCAATTAAACTATACTTTGAGAACCACTGAACTAAGAAACATTAGGTCCTTTCATTCTTTGTCAAAAGAATGGATTCTTTTTATTTAAAAAAAAAATTTAATATAAGAATTACACTTTAATGAAGGGAGATTATTTGGCTCAGTACTGTATAATTGGATGAAATGGAAATACTGAGTTAGTATGGTTGATTCAGGTGGTTCACTTGTGTCTTCTAGTGGCCAGAATGCTTAAAGTCTTGGTACATAAAAAAATAGCAGTGTTTAGCAAGAGCCTCTTCTGAACTGGAGGGCACAGACATGCCTCACCTGAAAAGCACTATCCAGTAGCACTGAATTAATTTTCAAAATACTGCAAACATTTCCTAAGACATACCTTGCCTCACAGAAATTAGGTACTCTCTGTTTTAAACAATTATCCACTGGTTATCCAATATTCAATAATAATATGTAACATTATTATTGATAAATATTTAAACAGTTATTCACTGGTTATCCACGGATAGTCACCCATCCACTCCAAATCTCCTCCAGTCATATCAGAACACAAGACATTAGAAATAAATGGATTTTTAAACACTCTGAATGATTGAACAATTCCCAATACAGGCATGTTACCACCTTCAACACAGAATTGGAACTGCAAAACTGTAATTTACAGGCAGGCAGATCTAGCAGTACTCAGATCTAGCAAATTGGAGTAAAAAAAATCTAGACATTTAAAATCCCTCACATAGTATTTTTTTCCAAAAGTGTGGGAAAGTTATGCTAAACTACTTGCCTATAGGAAAAAAAAAATCAAACATATCTAAAAAGCCAAACACTAATATCAACTAGTAAAAAAACAGCTCAAAATAATTCCAATGCAAATAGCAGAATGTTACCAGTTACTCAAAAACCAGGGTTACCAGTTACTCAAAAACTTTTCCCAGTTCCCTTTATTTTGTCCTCCCAGGAATCAGAACCAATCAATACTTTTAAAATACTAATGATAAAATCATTCCCAGCAAAATGTTCAAGGAAAGCCTGGAGAAATAAAATGTGAGAACAGTGCCATAAGTGATTAGGTCTTGAGCTTCCCTTTAGATCCTACCACGTTGAACACACTCAGTGAGAGCACCACAGAAGTTGTGAATGGCAGCCTCTAACTGGATCAAGAAAAGCAATGGCATAGAAAACTAGAGAATGAAACAATGACAAACCCAGATGTTTCAACAGCGAGACTAACAGATATCGACACAGCAGGAGGCATGACTGCTGGCAGCCTTCTCTGGTAAGACTTGAACACAGACTCCAAAATAGTCTCTGAAATCACATGATAGGTATTTGTGCTTGCAGACCACAGTCCCCAGTTCCAGTTTTGCTATTGAAAATTATTATCAGACACTAAATTCCATTGAAGCTGAACGCATCAAACTGATTATTGCATACTCCTAATGCCCACTTAGAGTTTGGGACAGCCACAGAAGTGAATTAGCTTAAAGAAAGCATCTACAAATTTTAGAGCCACTTTGTGACAGTGGAGTAATTTAGAAAATGAAGTATGACACAGAACCATGGCTTGTGCCCCAGAAAAAAATAGAGATTACAATTGTACAAGTACTATGGTTTGGTTTAGAAGTCAAAACCTTTCTGTTTAAGTCATTCTAATATTAGAATCTCCTACTGGTCTTTTGAGACTAGCAAATGGTGGACTTCACAATCACTGTGAATTGCAGAGGTGCAATTATAGTCAATGCATTGAATAAATTCTCTCAACAAGTTGCCCCTCTTCATTTATGCAATAAACTTCCACAAGAGCTTCAAGCTGTAAGATTAAAGACATTTCTGAATTTAACTGCTTTCTAAATTAGCTCACAAATTCTTAGATTTAAACTGCTGAACAGCTTCCTTGCAACCTATGGATACTGAGGCATATCAATTTGTTATCCCCCCTTACAGTGTTTTTGTTTGCATAACTGAGTGGTCTCAGTACACAATAACTGGAATACTTCTGGATTAAATCAAACCAAAATATACACTCCAGGAATAAACTTCAACAGTCAGTGGTCATTTAGTTTAAGTGACCAGACTAGGTCTAATTCAAAGTAAACACATCCTCCATTCTTGCTTCCTTCCCAAATGAGTATAGTTTGCATATCAAGGTCTCAGCACCAATTATTCTGTTCTACAAATGTTCCTTCTGGATCGTGTGACTTGAAAATGAAATCACAGCTCATTAGATCAATATGCTAATACATGAAATAGTAATTAAAAAAAAAAAAATCACCAAACGACATACCATGCTCCTTTGCTTGATTATACTGCAGAAACAGCGGGTACATTTACACATATAAAATTCAATGTATGCCTTCAATATATTTCACATATATATATATCTACATATACAGACTCATATGTCTCTAGCTCAGTATGTGGAGAGCCACAAGTACTGCATGCTATAGATAACTGAAGCCTGTAAATAAGGCTTTTATTCTTCCATCTGCATTGTGCTTCCATGTATGTGGCACAGCTATTACAGTTGGCAGACAACTTTCAAGGTGAGTTGTGTTTGTAAAACAATATTTACAGATGCAAACTATTGGCATGTCCAATGCCTGAATGAGCTATGAAAACCACTGGAGACCAGGATTCTGAGGTTTGAAAGAGTAAAAAGGACAATCAATTAATTCCATGATAAATCAAGCAGGCCATTTCCACCAAGGAGTAGAAAGCTACATACCAAGTCTACCACAGATGAGTTAAAGACTGGTTGGTTGGTCTGTTACAGATAAATGATCTTTGTTTTTGAAAGAAAAGCCTGTAGGCTACTAACTTTCATTTTTATTGCTTGCTTGAGCCTACTCAGATGTTTAACATATGTTTGGCAGGAAATGAAAGATACAGTCTATGATTTATGACTATCTAAACGCTGGAACCAGAACAGCAATTCTCTGTGTGGGCACAGGCAGGGAGTTAATTCCCTTCTCTCCCCATTCCTCACTCCTCATCTTCTTCTACCTTCCTAAAAGACAAAGGACTTAAAAAAACTAAGACTTCTATAATGCATTTTCATTACTAATACTTTTAATGTATAAAAAAGGTGTTTTAAGTCCATTTTTAATAACAGCATTATTTCTATTTATTAAACACACATACACATTTGCAAATATAGAAAACTGGGCATAACACCAACACTTCTACACAGCAAAACCAAAAGGTTAATTTTTGCTCTATGGCCTTGACTTCTTTGCAAACAAACATATCACTTACTCAAGATTAAGTGCTATTTGATATACTCTACATGTAGGAGAAGGTACCAGGAAGCTATTCTATGGCATAGGGAAACAATGTCCTACAAGTAACTTCCAGCTTAACGCAGCACCCAGCACATTCCCTTTGATATCAACAGGTTTGCCATTTAATGTGAACAGACTTTATTTTGACCAATCCATTATATTCCTGTAATTTTATAAATGAGTTGTTGCATGGACTAACAGGCCATTTCAATTTATTTTCCCCTGAGTTTTAAAGAAGAAAAACATTTATAAAACATTCAATTTTGTGATGTTATTAAGCAATCAAAAATAATAAATAGATTTATCTATACCATTTTCATCTATTTCACAATATGTAGATATACAAATAAATAAAACACAGATCACCAAAGAATAAAGCTTAAGAGAAGACTGAATTTAACGTTCTATCTTCAAGGCACTACTCTCAGGGAAAATACTGAGCTGTAGAGAAATTAGCTGGATCTTTTTAAAATATTTATTTGTAAAGGTGGGAAAGAGCACTGAGAGAAACTTTTCGCCTTGGATTTTAAAAAAATATGATGCATGTGGAAGTATAAAAATACATATCTCAGCATTCCATCAAGTTTTCACAACAGACTGAGTTTCTTTCTCAGCATCACTACACACAAAATATTTATACTAAGAACTGCAGGTGTATGTTAAAACACCTCAATTATCTACGCAGACAAACATATCTGCAAGACAAGTCCTGAATAAGGAGTAACAAGTGCCAGGCTGACCACATAACATCTAGCAGTTACTAGAGTTTTGCCCTCAAAAAGCATTACATTTACCAGTTAGAGTTTATGAAGCTTAGTCATATAAATGTGTTATCTGCATTCTCTTTCTTAGAAAATTTATCTGCAGTTGGTTTGCAAAAATATTATGTCCACTATGTGAATGGTCCATCTCCACAAAAGGCAGCTGGAGCAGGTTAGAGGCAAATGAAGTGGCACAAATCAGCATAATGAAAGGTAATATTTAAATAGGCAATGTAAAACAGAGCTTCTGACTTGAACTGGAGCAAGGCACTGTTGTATCCCAGGGTAATTAACACAGACTGTTTTCCCACACGACAGTATTCAGTGTCTCTGTTAACCAAGCATTTAAACACACAGACTCCATCAGCTGAAGAGAAAAAAATACTTCAGAAAACTTTTTGTAGTTAAAGCCCAAACCATATAAAGAACTAGATGTCTCTTTTGACTAACAACATATATAAACATGGATCTGAAGTACACAACCTGGCAAAAATACACTTTCTCTGACATGTTATTTCTTAAGCCAGTTTTCCAGTGACCTAGTTTCCATCCTACTTATCATCTTTTGTTTCCTGAAGTTGCCCTGTCCTTATAAGAAAGAAAGAGAGCTGACTAAATTAATTTTTACCTGGAACCAAACAATATCTTAAACTAACATTTTTTTCTACTTCCTTTTCTTCCATAATCCTATGTGCCAATGTCCTGATAATCTCTGGGGACGATGCTCTGACAAATTAAATGGCAGGGTGAAGAGTTAGGGATCACTTACATTGACTAAACCAGGAGAAGTAAACTACCTTTTTCCAGTAAACATAAGCTATGTACAATACTATGTATGACAACTATCACTAAACCTACCATGTGAGAAAAAATAACACCATTTTTCTGACAATGAAGAACATGTAATACTTCAAAGCTAGGGACAGGCAGTAGAGGGCAAGCCCATGTACTGTGCTCCGTGGGGAGGGGATCCAGTATCAGAGGCTTAAGTGGTGCAGTACATCAGCACACGCTGTCTCAGTAGAAGTCTGTCAGCTTTTAAATTATGGAGGGGTTGTGTTGTATGTATATTCATCACTTCATCAGCAAAGCTCCAGGACTTAGCATCCCTGGACCATTCAGCAAATCTGCAGGACTTAGTATCCCTGGACCATTCTTTCATGCATTTTAGTCTACATTACTGACAAGAAATGCTTATTATGTTTCTACCACACATATTTTATCCTTCTGGAGATAAATGATAAGGCAAAAAAAAAGCCCCAAAGAAACACAAGAACTAGAAAAAATAAGAGGTTTAATAAAAGGTTAAATAAAAGGCAAAACAGATACAAAAAGACAACTAACAGCAAAAGTTCAAAAAACATTAACACAGAAGAGTGATACACTGTGACATACTAAAAAGCCTGCAAAATCAAAAAACTAAAGGAAAGCCATAATGAAGGGGAAGGAAATACACATCTTGAAAAGCAAGAAACATAATAAATAAAATTATCAAAAGCTCATTAGAAAGCTAACTATACACTGCTGATGTACATTATTTTGCTAGCAATATTTAAGGATCAGAGAGAAAAGACATACATAAACACCTTGCAGGCACCCAGTGCATTTTAAGCCTTACACTTCACAGCATCTGCTATGAACAGAGCACTATATGATGTCAAGCAAAGTTGAAACAGGCAAAAGACATTGTCAAGAAAGGGGCGATGGCCCACCCAGGCTGACAAACTTTTACATCTGCATGCTCATTTGTATTTGTAACCTCTTCCATAATTTAGGCCTGTGAACAAACTGAAGGCAGACAACTGGGCCATCCAGAATCTGTCATTGTCTCTTTAATGGAAGGCATGCTCAGCCTTCTGTTTCCTGGACTGAAGAGAGCCAGCTCCTCTCATATACTCTTTTTGTACACCATGTGCTGCAGTTCCCTAACTATCCAGGCATACTACAGTTTGCCAAAGTATTGCATAGATTTACAAAGTGGTCAGCACATGGACTTCAGGGGTTTCACAAGTCCCAGCTGAAGCACATATTTTCACATTTCCCAAAAGTTGAGATTTTTGTCCACCAAGAACCATCAATGCCACCCTCCACATGAACTTTTAAAAACACGTATATACTGCATCAGCTATTTAGTATAGTTAGTAATAGGAAAACACTCAAGCTAGCTGCAAAAGCTAAATACTCTCAATGTACAGAGACACAGGAGTGAATCGACCCATTTCTAGCTTGCACTGCCTCTCAGCACATAAATGAAATTATCCTTTTACCCATGTCTCAGTTCATTCATAATGTCCTGCACATGAGCTGGGGCAAACCCAAACATGAATACAGCCTGGAAGATTAATGGATTGAGAGCAGCCATGCAGAGAATAACTTGAGGATGTTGGTGGATGAAAAACTGATCATGAGCTGCCGATGTGCACTTGCAGCCCAGGAAGAAAACCACATCCTGGGTTGCATCAAGTGAAGCATGGTCAGCAGGTCAAGGGAGGTGAACCTCCCCCTCTGTTCCACGTGGAGGTATGAGACCCCTCCTGGAGTACTGTGTTCAGCTCTGGGGCCCCAAACACAAGAAAGACATAGACGTGCTTGAGCAGCTTCAGAGGAGGGCCACAAAGATTATCAGGGGCCTCCTGTGAGGATAGGCTGAGAGAGATGGTGCTCAGCCTGGAGAAAAGATGGCTCTGAGGAGACCTCATAGCAGCTTTCCAGTATCTGAATAGGGCCTACAAGAAAGATGAGGCTCTTTAGCAGGGCCTGTTCAACAGGACAAGGGTATATTAAAACTTTACATTTTAAACGTGCATTCTTATAAATTTTATTAGCTTTATATTATCACAAAGTTTTTTTTTTT